AAAGAAGAATGAAGAAAACCAAAAACACATGGAAACAATTAGTCCAAGAGACTAGTATATCATGTGATCCTCAGCCTATATGGCTATGAGACTAGAAGAACTAGATGGTGCCCGGCTACCACTGTCAACCACTCGGAGTGGGATCTATGTAGGAGATCCTGGATAGAGTGGGAGATCAATGTGAAGCAAAACTCAAAATTATTAAAAAAAAAAAGGACCAGGTTTGCTGATCTGATAGAGCCTGGTGGGACCCCTGGGACTATAGTCCCTAGTTGCCCTTCAGGTCTGGAATCGAACACACTCCTGTGGTTTCCAGCCAAATAAAGGACAGGTATATGAGTTGAATATTTACATTAGATAGATACACTCCTTGAAGAGATCAATCATGGGAGAATAGAAGGGCTGTGTATACACAGGGAGACAGCTTGGGGGCAGGAGTGCATGGGAGGGAAGGACACAGGGAAGAGGTAACTATGAAGAAGAAGTGGGAAGAGAGCTGTTGCATTGTGGGAAATTGCAATCGACATCATGAGAAAAAGTGTATGTGAACTGCTGTATGGAAGATGAATATGCTCTGTAATCTTTTACCCAAATCACAATAAAAATTAAAAAAAAATCACTTTCCCATGATCTATGCCTGATATTTATATTCATTATATTTATATGTACATTGTCTTTATGTATACGTATCTGTGTATGCTTTTATTGGTCTAAAATTTCTTAGACACATTTATCTGAGCAAGATGCAAAATTTACTAGTTATTAAAGAGAGCATTAGCAGTTAGATAATTCCAGGCAGATTCAAAATGACAAGGAGAAAATTAATTTAAACACATGGAGCTTTTAACTAGGCACGGGATGCTCTTTGACTTTATATGGTCGTAAGATTATCACATTTTTATTAGTGGTTATTGTTGTTTGTTGCCATTGAGTTGATTTCAACTCATGATAACCTTATGTACAATAGACCAAATGTTTTCCCAGTCTTGCATCATTCTCACAATCGTCAGCATTTCAAGTCCATCATTGTAGCTATTGTGCCAATCCATCTCACGGAGAGTCATTTAAATATTGCATTTTTTTATCAGTGATAGGGAAAGTTAAATTTGTGAAATGGATGAATTGGAGCCATAATCATCAGGTATGAACCAGCAACCAGAAATGATAAGTAACATACCTGAGAAGAAAACAAAAAGCAAGTTGATCTCTGACTAATAATTAAATATGCCTAGCAACAAGGTTTTACCCATTGACAAAAAGCCAATTAAGTCAAATAGAGGTCAGCTAGCAGAAGCCCAGAGTCAGGCTTTTCTTAAGCACTATTGGTAACATTCACCAGCTGTAACCAAAGTTATTCACTATGCTATGCAGTTGCATAATTCTCAGGGGGACAAAATCAATCTTTCTCTCTCTCCCTTTCCTTTTGATTTAATGGATCTGTTTAGCCTTTCATTTTCTACACATAACACAAAATATTTTAGATACTGCTCTTTCATTGAATATTATATAGTAAATATGTCCCCCTGTTATCACATGCTTTCCATATTCATTCATCTTAAATGAATAAATAATCTGTACTGTGACTTAATCACTGTTTATTTATCTATTTTCCTATAGATAGATACGTAGGTTATTTAAAGCGCTTTATTTTCCTCCATGCTGTTTAGAAAAATTTCAAGAATTCAAGAAGTTACAAGAATAATAAAATGAACATGCAAATAAAGTTCATGTTGATTTTCTGATTATGAACACGTTCCACATTTGTGTTCACTGAATATCTATCAATCTAGATCACACACACACACACACACACACACACACACTGTATATACATACACAGTAAAACCTGCAAAAGCCAAAACCTGTGTAAGGTGGAAACTTGTCAGAGAAGGAAAACTCAAATATTTTCCACTAATAATAACAGAAAAGTGCACCTCTTCAAGGTAGAAACCTTGCGAGATCTAGAAAAACAAGGCAGTCTTGTCAAGTTCTGGGTTTCATAGGTTTCACGTATAATGTGTGCATGTATGTGCATGGGAGTGTGTGCACACACATGTGTGCATATTTTTTGCATCATTTGAGAGTTGCAGAAATCATGACACTTATCATTCAGGAATAAAACACAAAATACTTTCCACATAACCACCTACAAGTATCATACATGAAGAATTTATCTGTGATGTAAAATTTAGTCCAAACTTCAGATTTCTCAAATGGTTCCATTAATGTCCTTTATAGCTGTATTTAATTTCAGTCCAGGGTCTAAACAGACACCACATATCACATTTAGTTGTCAGGTCTCATTGACAGTATCTATAATCTAGAACCATGCCCAGCTCCTCTCTCTGTCTCTTTTCCTTTTCTTTCTTTCTTTCTTTTTTTTTTTTTTAGTTTTTCATGATTTGTTATTTTGGAGCAATCTAGGCCACATGCTCTGCAAAATGCCTCACATGTTGGATTTGCCTGATTGTTTCTTCATGATTAAATTCAGCTAAAAACATTTTTGGTGTACACATTGCATAAGAGACATTGTAGCTTTTTTCATGCATAATTTCAGGGGCACCCAATATGAACCAGATCATCACTGATCATGAAATGTAATGTAAATATGTCTTTTTCTCTTTGTAACTAATAAGTGATCTATGGAGTGATACTTTGACAGTGTTAATATCCTATTGCCCAACAATCTTTCATCCAATGATTTTAGCATCAATTCATAAAACTGATCTAAATTATTTAGTATTGTGAAAGAAGTAGTGGTTCAAAGGTAGAATTTCCATTTCATTCAGAGACCCAGGGGTTGATCGCTGGCCAATTTACAAGGACAACCACCACTCTCTGTCAATGGAGGCTGGTATGTTGCTATGGTGAACAGCTTTCAGCAGAGCTTCCAGACTAAGGTAGACTATGAAGAAAGGCTTGGTGAACTATTCCTGAAAAGCCCCCTATGAGTCACAACAGTCTGATCCACAACTGATTATGAGGATGAGGAAGGACCTGGCAGCATTCTGTTCTGTTATGCATGAGGTCCCAGGAGTGAGATTTACTCAACAACACCGAATGACTCAAAAACATGGTAGTTACAAACAGGTGTATTTTATTTTTTAACTACATTTATTAGTTGGTACCTGTGGTTTCATCTGTTGTAAACCTGTCACTCTGTATTATTAAGTACCAATATCACCAAATGAGTTAGAGTGCCCCCCCCCAATTTTAATACCTTTCTTGAAAGAGACAGAGCATAGATAATATCAACTCTTTGTTCTATCAGTAGTGATGAGGCCAAGACCAAGCAAACTTTGTGCTTGACATATTTTTAAGCTTTATGTGAACTCTACATTGTAACCTGTTTGCTTCATCTGAAGCCCAATTTGCTCCACTCAC